TTTGAGGCCCAAAGGACACCAAGGATGTTCTGAGAGAAACTAGTTTGATACCTGATGTTCTTTAGAGTAACCAACCAGACGTTCAAAACAGTGTGGTTCAAACACACTGTGGCTGGACCAAATCCACTTCGCACCACTTAGGATACACGAACCCATACGGCATAACCCACCAATCCCAACTGGCGCAAATCGATCGGCGCGCTTCGCGGATTTGGCGCTGGCGGTTGACGATTTGGGTCATCGATTCCCTTCTCAAGAATCGGACCGCAGTTTGAATCATCCTTAGTGGCACTCATGAGGGCAAGAACCATGTTGGGGTTCATGTTGACCCAGGATCAATAAACCCGTCCCATCATTCGCGGGGTGTTCCCTCCAAAAGCGGTCTGAAGCCCGCTAAAGGGCATTGGACACCCCCCGGATCAAAGTCAACCAGTTGTTGATCCGGGGTCAAGACTATCGTTTCGGTTTAAGGGGTACCCTCCATGTCCATTCTTTCCAGGGATCCGGATCTTTCTAGTCAGCCAAAAGTGATGCATCCCCACTAAAAGGGGACATCCCCTATGAATCAACCAGGGGTTTATTTCTCCGGGGTTCACGTCACCCGAATTTTCGACCGCCATTTCTGAAGGACCAGGGCCCGGACATCACCGCCGGAGCCTCAGTGCGCCACCGCCGGAGCCCGGGACCCGAAGGCTGAAGTCTGGGCACCGAAGTCGTGCGCAAGGTGCCCGAAGTCGTTTGGTGTGTGTGTTTTTTTTGTTTTTGTTTTTTTTTTCTTTTTTTTTCCTTTTTTTTTCCGCCCTACAATTTTCACCTTGGCTTCAAGGAACATCACAAGTCGCGCATGTTTGACACATATATGCTGGGCTTTGCGCAAAGGGGCCAGGGTGTGTTTTGGTTGCTCTTTCAAGCAAACCCCAAGGGCTACCCGTTGCAAACAAAGACCCTCACTTCCTGAGTTCATGAACTTTGAACTTCTTGGGAAGACCATTTTAGTGGTAAGTATAAAGTTTGGACTTGTTTTGGGCCATCCACTCAGCAAGTGAGGACCTTTTCTCCGCCTTCAACAAAAACAAGCCACGGATGCCGACGTTTTCACCCAGCTTTGAAATCGAAGTGCTTCGCGAGGCGAGTGAGTTGCCTTTTTGGACATGAAGTTGGATCTCGATGCAAAGAAGATGCATAGGTGTCCTTTTTGGTTGGTTTGCTTAAGACATAGTAGAGGGCGATTCCTGGTTTACCTGGTGGTTCAATCATCTACCAGGGCCATCTATTTACACCTATGGCAAGATCATGTATCCAAAAGATGGTCCACATGTTTCTCACCCATGCGGGCCATTGCCATCATTTTTGGTGCAGCAATTTGCTTAAGGGCCAGGGTTCATTGGATCCCCTTGTAGGGAATCTATCGGGTTTGTCTCAATATAGGGGAATCTCAAGACCTTTAGCTTCTTTTTGGCGTCCCTTTGAACCACCGCAAACACGAGTGCCCTCAAAAAGACACGCAAATACGTGATTTTGAGTTGGAGACAAACGCTGAGGTAGTCGTGGATCATCGCTGAAGCCAACACAGCGACAAAAAGTGCCTTCGGGGCTCAACTGCTCCTTTTCGCCAAGCAAACACCCTTAAATTCAAGGACTGAAACACGAAACCCTATTCCAGCGCCCCCAACAACTGCTTTTTGGACAGTACTTGTGATCTTTGACATGGAGAAAAGCAGTTGTTGGGCGGAGCTGGTTGGAAGCTGTCTCTTCATTTGCCCATGTCCAACCCCTGCAGCTCGAAACCGTTCAGGCTCACGGAGTATTCACCAGATGATCAATCAACGGATCATTCTTGTGGTTCACGGATTATAATCCTGTCCATAGGTTTCCTTTTTAGGTTAGTCTGATGAAAAATAGATGGCACTGGCTTAGATGGGGTTTCGTCCATTTGCCAGGGCCATCTATTTTTCCCAAAAGGCAACCTATGATCCTGTCTTGTGGCAAAAGACGAGCTGTTGGACGCTGGATCAAGGGGATTTCTTTTAGGGAAAAGGAGCGAGCGCCATGATCCGAGGCGCCCTTGGCTGGACAGCGGCAACTGGCAGATGACCAGGCCACACGCTTTGCTTTGCTCGGGCTCTGCTACTGTCTCCTGGGCCCCCGGAAAATGGCTGATGTCATTCTCCTGAACTGTGCGACCCGCGTTTTGAATGGGTGGTTTGTCCTTTTGGTGTTCATGTTTAAGTTTTTTGTTGAGGGAATCCCCCAATGATTATGACCCTTCTGTGGCTTGTCAAAGCGCGCAAAACCAGGGTACTTAACGAGGGAGCGACCCAAGCTTTGTTCCTCAAATGTCTGTTGTCTTAGTTCGACCTCGACGTTTTTGGCTCGACGTTTCTTATTCACTTGCTGGATTAGTTCCCCATTCGACGAAAGGAGGCGCACTGGGAGAACACGCTCGTGGGCGGTGACGTAGACATTTTGGTGCTGAATGGCCTGCAGTCAGGGAATCTACTTTTCGGTGTCCTACTCAGGAGCCCATCCACACAAGCAGTTTTGACCAGGACATGTATCGTCGCGTATGAACCGATCCGAGCGTCGCATTTTTCACAACATGCCGGCCAGAAGAAAACAAAATGCACCGAATTGAAGCAACCAGCACGCCCCAACAGCTGCTTCTTCCCATGCCCAACATCCCAAGTACTCGTACTGCCCATGTTAAGCCTTCCTCTTTACTTCTTGGGACAAAAGTTTGGAGCCATTACTTGGTGGCTCAACCAGCCATCCGGTTCAACTTAGCTTTTTAGATCTTTTCAGTGTTTAGTGGTTGGTTTTCCATATTTCGCCCACTAAAAGTTAGTCACTTTTGGCGGGGGATCCGAAAGCGGACAGCCCAGATTCGTGGTACAACGCGCCACCTTGGACTTGAGCACCTTATCTCATAGACTTATGGATCTTCAGTGGACCTTGTACCGGGTGGGTGTGTCTTTTTTGCGGAGGACCCCCAAAGTTGGGTCCCGTCTTCTTGTTGGTTTCCCTTTAAAGCCCACAAAAAAATGAAGTACCAAAAGCAGACAGACCCAGATGTTGATGAAACCTTTTGTCTCAAACACCATAGAGAGCTGGGTAGACCTTGACACAATGCTAAACCTCTTCAAATGTGTAGAGCCGCTTGTGGCATGTGTGTTGCTATAGGGGAACCAAGCGGAGACCACTGGACAACCTGACCTTTTTGAATGGAAGCCAAGGAGAACCAGGGGAGAACCCCCATGTTTTGCTCGAGTCGTTCGTCTTTTCGGAGTTCGTTTTTCAGGGGCGCCAAAAAGGGGAAAACCCAACGGACAGAGCAGTTGAAGACGAGCGGAAAGCCAGCCGCAAAGCGAGCGGAAAACCGCAGGGCAACCTAGGGAACCCACAGGAAAACAACCGGACAAAGGGAAACCAATGGAACACGCAAAGCACGAGACAAGGGCCAAATCTAGGGGAAACCATTGGAAAGCCCCGGAAACAGTCAAACCAAGGAAAAGGGAAATCCAACGCAAACCAAAGGGAAATGAAAGGGAAACCAAAGAAAAACCAAAGGGACACCAAAGGCAAATTAAAGCGAAACCGCCGAACCGAAGAATCAGGGAAAACCAAAGGCAGTCGTGAACAAATCTAGGAACACCACCGAAAAGCCAAAGAGAAAACCAAAGGGAAACAATTGAAGAATCACCTCATTTTCTATTGTTGATATATTGGTGTGTCTTTTTTGGAGGGAGCCCTTTTTTGGGCGGTTTCAACAAATCAAAGGGACATCTCCCACTTGGGTTTCCCTATAAGACAAGCCGGTATTTGTGCAATTGATCTGATTTTCTCTTCGCTATTCATGAACCGTACCACCGAAGGCACCCCGAAACCCGTCAGGCATTGCAGGCTGAAACCATTGGACACCCCAAGGCTAGGTACCCCAGTAGTGCTCTTTCTCACCTTTTTTTGTGGGGAGGGTTCCCCTACTAAAATAGACTACCAAAGAAAGTTGGTACCCTTATTCTAACCTCTCTAATCTGGAGGACCTAGAAGGGAATCACAAGATTACCCTCTCTCCGACAAACATGGCACCTCACAGGGGGAAGGGTACCAAAAAAAACCACCAAGGAGACTCATCGGGGACTCACCGGGGGAAACGTGGCCCTGAGGTGGTGGTGCAGGGCTATGCCAGCGACGAGACTCCGGAGCTGATGCCCTGCAGTCAACTTCTGGCGCAGGAGCTCTGCACCAAGATGGACACCCTCAGGAGCGGGGGGGCGGGGGGGGGGGGGGGTTGGGGGGCGACCGTCTCACTGCCTAAGCTCCGCAACTCGGACTTTCGTGACGTTTTGGGTTTGGACCATGTTGGTGGTAAACAGAAAGTTTGGACTTTGTTTGGTCAATCCACTCGGGACGTGTCGACTGTTAGGGGGGGGACTGTTCGCGACGGTGCGACTTCACGCACGCCTGTCGGTTGTGAGTCAGTGCAACTCGATTCCGTTCAACTCAAAGCAACTCAGCGTCGTTCAGGTCAGCTTAGCTTCACGTTTGGTCAAGGCCACATTTCCGATCCTGTCATACTGATCTTGGTTTTACATTGTTAGTGTGACAAAAGCACAACGATATTTGCACATGAAGCCAGTGACAGCACTGTTTGGCAAGGTGCGGGGAAGCCATGGAAGAGCATGAGAAGTGCTAGCTGCCAGCATATTTGATAACCTTGATCCAGCAGTGGAGAATCTCAGCTTGAAAGCCTTTTCAGACTTGCACATGGCTCTCCTTTCCCAGCATGTAGCCGAGCTACCAAGCAGTCACTGCTGCCAGAGATCCCTTCAGAGCTGGGATTTGGCTTGAACCTTCACCCGCGGGGGCTGTTTTCGACAAGATTGCCCACGCTTTTTGTGGAAACCGTGCCCTTGCACCCCGAAACTGAAGGTGGACAATGCGCTCTTTTATCCCCGCGCTGATGCGGACAATTTGCCTCCCCCACCTTTGGCGCGCTCTTCGCCTTCGACCGCCCGGAATCGCCTTCAAGGGCCAGCTCTTAAAACTGGCGCCAGCAAAGCTTTCGTCAACCTAAAGTTACTTGCTGGTGCGATAGGGAATGTGGGTTGATTCCCGGGGTCACCTGAAAGGAAACTACCAGTTCCCTGCCTGTACCAGCAAGATTATCTTTCAGCAAGCGTGTTTACCTCCCCAAGGCCATTCTGCTTGCAGCCGAGACGGCAGCAAAGATGGATGTTACTCTTTCAGCCTGCTTTGGATTCTTCGATTTGCTTAAGAATATGTTGTTTTTTTTTCTTTTTCCCTTGTTGGTTTCAAAGGGAATCTATCCCTAGTGGAAAAAAACTATTTTTTCCCGGGGGCTTAAGCAAATGGAGGGACAGATGTTGCTCTTTCAGCCTGCTGTGGATTTGCGACCCACGAGAAAGCCGACTTGGGGCGCTGTGCTTCGTGGTTTGGCCAGCCACACGTGCTTCCAACGGTTCGACTCGAAACTCGACGCGTTCGCTGGCACTCCCAGGCGCAGGGCGGTTCAGAGGAGGTTTTCGGGAGGGAAGATTGGTTTGGGGAGCAGAGGTGTCCCTTTGATCAGTTGGTTTGGATAGAAATACTTCCATTGGCTGAAGAATACTTCTTATTTCCCCTGTTGGTTTTTAAAGGGAGTCTATCACTACTGGACATGTTTTAAGTTTTTTCAGGGGTCTTAACCAAATGGAAGAATAGATGGGTTCCACCGGCTTAGATGGGTTGTATGTCATCCATTTGTCAGGGAGCCCATCTATTCTACGGAAAGGACTGAAAGGACACCTATGTTGGGGATTGGTTCTTTGGGGAAGGGGTGGGGCTCTCCTTGTTTTATCAGCCGCTGAAGGCAGGAAGGTTTGATCCAAGCTCACACATGGAGGTCCCATTCTTAGTGAGGGCTCGTCTTTTTTGGAGCTGGTCGCCCTGCTCGGGGTGGGTTTTAAAGGGGCATCAGAAGAGCAACTCTCGTTTGTTGGGTCCACTAAACTTGGTGTCTCCCAGCCACCCGGTTCCTCAGCTTTTTAGCTTTTTAGTACGTAGTGGGGTTTTCCATTTAGCCCACTAAGAGTTAGTCACATTTAGCGGGGGATCTGAGGACAGCCTAGTAAAAAAGATGGCAATACGCATCCATGATTCCTGGTGCACCGCGCAATTCGCCCCACGGAGCGCCTGTTTTTTGTTGTTTTTCTCCAATGGGTTCTGGGGAGAAGGCGCGGTCAGGAGAGAGGGCACTCTGGCTTGGCTGCGGCCAGACGCTCGAGTGCAGGCGCCGTCAAGGGGGCACCGGGGTGGGCGGCGCTTCAAGACGCATGTCCGCTATGGACAAAATCCGGTTGGAATGGATAAAGAGGGCTGGGGGGGGGGAGGGGGCCAGCCCCATGATATGAATGGTGGGACAAACCATCGACCAACTGGTGTGAGAAGTGGGTTTTGTCCATGCACGGTATGGTCATGCATTTGTGTGTTTTCGTTGGTACTGCGCAGTCCTACTTTAGTTCATTTAGACACGTGAAGCAAGTTCTTGCTTTTCTCGGCTGGGGAGTGGCTTTGTGTTTAGTTGATCCTGTCCGGGGCAGGCTGGCCCCTATTTTGAGACTACTTTCAGGAATGTATGGCCCCCCCATCTACAAGGGTTGGATTCGTGGAGCTATATATGCCAAGCTTGTGACATTTCGGGGGGCAAATGGACCATCCTGAGTGGCCAAATATTGCTTATGTAAAGACAATGGGCACACACCGCAATTACTATTGGACAAAGGGGGCCGATCTGTGCGTATCTGGGCAAGGGGTTCGAACGCGACAAGTTCCAGATGTGTGCTTTGTCCGAGCCATTTTACAGCTGGAGGATTGCGAGCACCTTGGACAAGGGGAGTTGAGGCAAACTACGAACTCCGTGTTGCTGAAGGGATGTTGGCTCGCCGAATCTGACAACTTCATTGGAGGATTAGAGTGGTGAGTTTACTGGAAGAAGCGGTGCGCTCCTGATCCCTCTCCCTCTCCTCTGCCTCTCCCTCTGCCTCTGCCTCTCCCTCTGCCTCTCCATCTCCCTCTCTCTCTCTCTCTCTCTCTCTCTCTCTCTCTCTTTCTTTTCTTTTTCTCTCTTTCTCTCTCTCTCTCTCCAGCTCTCTCTCATGACTTTACACCGCAAATCTGCGAGCAGATGCCCGCCAGCACTCGCGCAAGTTTCATGGAACCCAGAAAACCGAAAAAGTTGTCGAGGAAGCTCCTTGAAGCACTCGACCTGCTTGGGTGCGGGACCTTTTTGGACCGTGTTTGGCCTTTCTTCGCTTTTGGAGTTTCGACGTCTCATGTTTAGCACATCTGAACGAACATTCTGGCTGCTTCGGGTTCCGGATGCTTTTAGTTGTTTTTAGTTGGAGTAGTGGTTGAGTATCCGTATTTAACTCCTTAGGTGTTTAGTTGTTTTTAGTTGGTTTAGTGCTTGGGCTTCGGTATCTAACCCACAAGTTATTCACTTTTAGCAAAAGAAACTCTTGAATGGCCCACAAGGCGATGCTATATCCAAGGACATGTACCCTCGCACCAATTAACATGGAACCTGACCGGGGGGGTCCTGGAAGACCATTTTTATTTTAAAGGAACCCCCTGTCACGTTCCATGTTAATTGGTGGGAAGGTTCACTGGGGTGGAAGAAAGTCGATTGCAACATTCGTGTTTGGTGCCAACAGTTGCTAGGTCCCCCCGCTAGGTGCCCTTTCTCACCCCTTTTTTGGTTGGGAGGGTTCCCCTACTAAAATAGACAGCAAAAAAGGTTGGTACCCTTCTTCTAGACTCTCTACTAGAGGACCTAGGTTGGCTCCGCAGGTAACAGTGAAGTACAACACCGACGCCGAAGGCCGCCCGGACGTTGCTTCGGACGGTGGTTCGCTCGAGGTGCGTATTTTTTGTTGTTGCGGTTCGGCGCAATTTCTGCGAAGGGATTTGTGCTGAAGTGATGAGGATGTGGTCTTGTTTTGGGAGCTAGTACCCTTTTATTGCAGAAGCCATGAAAAAGACATGCCCAGAAAATCATGCAAATCAACCACTTTGGTATCAGAGAAATCGCGACGGTCGATGTGTCAGTTTTTTTTTCTCGCTAAAGCTCTTAATGAGGCATTCCCGGCGCTTGCTGGGAAGGATCCTCGCAATGAAGACCCAGGTTTCTGTGATAAAATCTCTTGGTGGCTCCCAGCCGTCCGGTTCCTTAGCTTGATAGCTTTTTAGTGTTTAGTGGTTGGTTTTCGATTTAGCCCACTAAAAGTTAACTTTTAGCGGGGGATCTGAGGATCTAGCTAGATCCCTAAACAGACTTGAAGTGGTACAAGTGGCCCACGCAGCTGATCCAACAATTTCACCTTCCACTGGGGGATGGACACTTGGACGCGCGGCTCGTAGAACCAAATTTCAGAAACAGTTCGGCCAGCTGTCTATACAGACCTTTATCGCTTCATTCCAACAACTGAGGCACCAAGAAAGGGGCAAAACTGGGCAGAAGTGAGACTCGTAGGCACCCGCCTTCATTTTCAAGGCAAAGCGGAAGAAAACTGAACTCCAAGAAGGGGCGTGCCTAAGACAAGTTGGTCTTTTTGGGGTTATGGTGGACGATCTATATTGCAGACTCAACGAGATTTCAACCAGGAAGTAGCTGGGCCACAATTAGGGGTCGTGATTGTTTGCTGACCATCAAGCCTGAATAAGGTCGTACATTAGGGCCTTATTTAGGGGAGAGGGGGGGGGGGCGGAGGTGGTGGGGTGGATCCCATGAAAAGGACAACCTTCAAACTGCTCAAACCCATGTTCATGGCTGAACAAGTTTGATTTGCTGACCTGAAATAAATCTTTGATGGCGGTTTGCTTGCAAAAGAGAGACTAAGCCGCAAAACTAGGGATGCCAAATTCGCCCCGTGGCTACCATTGGGGGGGGGGCATGAGTTCTACGCATTCACGTATGTATGACTATGTGAGCAGGGCACCTTGTGGTTGTGTCTTAAATAGGGAAACCCATCCAAACTGGATTCGGGTTGCCTCGAAACCCACAACATGTAGCAACGACTAAAATGGGGCACACCCTCCCTCCCACCCCTCCCACCCCTCCCACCCCTCCCACCCCTCCCACCCCTCCCACCCCTCCCACCCCTCCCACCCCTCCCACCCCTCCCACCCCTCCCACCCTTCCCACCCCTCCCACCCCTCCCACCCCTCCCACCCCTCCCACCCCTCCCACCCCTCCCACCCCTCCCACCCCTCCCACCCCTCCCACCCCTCCCACCCCTCCCACCCCTCCCACCCCTCCCACCCCTCCCACCCCTCCCACCCTCCTCCCACCCCTCCCACCCCTCCCACCCCTCCCACCCCTCCCACCCCTCCCACCCCTCCCACCCCTCCCACCCCACCCACCCACCCAGCCACCCAGCCACCCAGCCACCCAGCCACCCACCTCCCTCCTCGCTACAGGTGGCCTGGTGCCGCTGAGGGTGCACAGTGTGGCCATCGTCTACGGCCACCTCTCAGAGGTGCGGAGCCGGATCTGATCTCTGGGCGAAGTGACCGCTGGCAGGTTCCTGCTAATGTTGACCAAGGACTAATAAACCTCTGGTTGATTGATAGGGGGGTGTCCCCTTTTAGTGGGCATTCATCACTTTTGGAGGGAACACCCCCCCTAATAATGGGATGGGTTTATTAATCCTGGGTCAACATTAATGTTGATCCCGGATGAATAAGCCCCGGTTATGAATATGGCTGTGGTTGTCAAAACCAACGGGATACCATATTGGGGCAGGTGCACCACCCATTTTGGTCGATTTTAGTGGGGATTGGGATGTTTACTGGGGGTACGGGATTTTGATCCATGGCCATATGGGGGTGTCCCTGGTTTTAGTGGGGATTTATCACATTCGGAGAGGAACACCCCCATATTAACCACCGGGGGTTCTTAATTCGGGGTCAACATTGGGGCCTATGGAGGCCGCACGCAAAAATTGCGCTAGCCCGAGGTGCCGGAAGTGCTTTAACCTGAGGGTGCCCAGATTGTGGAACCCCTTCTCCGCAGTTCTCTTCGATTTTTCGGCTGCGAAAAAACCCAGGTTTGTTGCGGTTGGAAGGGGTTGGTGGAGGTTCTGTTGTACGAAAAACCAGGCTTGTTGCGGTAAGGGGTTGGTGGACATGAATCCCCCAGCTTGTCCACCAAAGGCTACGTCATTAAGATTCATACCCTGATCTGGATGGGAATTCATAGCCTTATCTGGCTGGGTTTGGGGAATCAGCAACGAGCAGCACATGGATGACCATTTGTCCATTTGCCAACGAGCAAACGAGCAGCACGCAGGTTTCCATGCGCCAGCCACTTACATCAACGTCATGTTTACCATGGGCTTTGCGACCATGAAGGCTGCCATCACAAGGTTCCCTTATGTTCCCTTATTTATCTGTTTATGAATTAGTTTGCCCGGCATCTTCGGATGAATCCGACCTCTTCAGGGGAATCCCCTAGGTTGTGAACAATGCACATGTCGCACTCTATACACACACGTGCCATATATAAACTGGCCACACTCCCAAGGTGACATCACGCTCATTCATTCGGAAGGCCTTCTATTGGTATCACAGCAGCGCAAAGGCAGTTCCACGAAGACCCGGGTTCCGAGCCTAAACCAAATCAGCCCAGATGGCCCCGTTGGAACGCCCCGCAGGGAGCCGAATCTCCGGAATCCTCCCTGAAAGCTGCCCCAAACCACCAAACAAGTTGGCCTATCTGGGCCTATCGACCCCCAAAGCGCTTTCAGCTGCTGGGGAATGATCAAGCCATAAGGGTAGGACATCGGTTTGGTCGGACACAGGGTTGTGGGATCAAGGTTTTTCTTTCCCCACTGTGGTACAAGGGATTCTCCTCTTTATGTGGCACTTTGTCTTTGAGAGGCCCTTTTGGTTGTATCACAGATTCGTGGATTCCGTTTCCCACAGCCCTGGAGTCGGAACTCTCTACCCTCGTAGCGACCCTGACCGTCCCCGATGCGATCGATCGTTGAACCTGGCGGACTAAGAGGTGCCTTGTCAACAATGAAGATTCCGCAGGGCTCCTTAAACGAAATTCATTTTGCAACCATTTGAAACATGTGGCGTTTTTTCAACACCAAAATCAAGTTGGAAACCAATTTACAAGTTGCAATGTTCAGGTGTATAATGTAAGGGTCCCTGTTCCGCTTAAGGGGAATGCCTCGTTCATCAACCAAGGATGTGTGAGTTTTTCTATTTCTGGGTCAAGCTTATCCAATAATTACTACCCCCTACTCCATGCTTTCCCCAGGGCATGATGCCAACCCCTGACCGAAAAAGGAGTTACTGTATTTAGAATCAACACATGTTTTTGCAAATATTCTCTGAAGCAAGTGGGTACTTGAAGTAGGGGGTATATAGTATGATATGATACGAATCCATCCTCAAAAAAAAAAATGGTGATGTTCTTTGCTGGTTTGCCTTTAAAACCAACATTCCACACGCTTCCCCGAAAAAAGCAGCGCGTGTCCCGGGTTGGTGCATATCATTTTGCGAGCCGAGCTAGTTCGGCGAAAACGGGCTCGCCGGTAGCATCCAGACGCAAAGAACCCATCAGATGGACGCAAACACCCGGGTCCCAACTTGCCAAAGTCCCCAAGCACTGTCCAAAAAGCAGCGGTTGGGACCCGAGTGCTGGGTTGAACACGATGCCACCTATCGAGCGTTTCGCCATACGGACTAGTGGGGACCCTGTTTGTGGCGAATAGGCTAAAGTTCTCGCGACCTATGGTATTTTTTGGGCATCCTTACAGGGAGTTGTGCCATCTTCTTTAAATGTTGTGTATTTTCCTATGTTCCGAAGGGACAACTAGGTCCCCCAGTAGTGCCCTTTCTTACCCCCTTTTTTGGTCGGGGGGGTTCCCCTACCAAAATGGACGTCCTGAAAGAAGTGGGTACCCTTATTCCAACCTCTCAAATCTGGAAGACCTAGAAAAAGTTGTGTCATCTTCTTTAGATGTGGTGTATTTTTTCCTATGTCCTGAAGGGCCAAGGAGTGCCCTGCGAATAAAACGGGGGGCCATGGGGGGCTTCCGGGTAGGTGAAGCCCGAGACGGCGGAGAAGGACCTCCTGGAGAAGGCCGCGGCCGCCGCGGCGCTCGCGCGGTCGCGTGGGTTGGGACGAGAAACGAGAAGCCACGGGGTTCCCAAGGACTGAGCGATGCGACTTTGCTCCAGCTTCGCAAGTTTTTTTTAAACTACGGGGGTGTCTTTGTTTTTTGATGGCACCCCCCTTGTTTTGGGAGGGGGTTTTACAAGAAAGCCAAAAGGACAACCGCCCATTTTGGAGATTCCTAAAAAAATACACACACATGTCACATCGCCCAGGAAATTTCTGTGCCGCTCCCACGACTTTAACTTTCAGATCGACGAACCAAGGCCCTTCGGTCAAAGCACCCAATGGTCAATTTAGCCCTAAAGCTCAGGACCTAGTGTTCTCACGCGCAGTAACTAGGGTCTCCCAGTAGTGCCCTTTTGCCAACTTTTTTGGTGGGGAGGGTTCCTCTACACTACAGAAAACATATGGTACCAACTTATTCTAACCTCTCAATCTGGAGGACCCAGGTAAATCGCCCGCTTTGTCGCTCATGTTGCTTACTGCAAAGGGACGACCTATCCGAGATGCTCAGTCGAATCCATCCGGAGCACGAATTTCAGAAGCGAGGCTTTGATTGCTGGTTTATGGTTCATGTGGGAGGGACAAGCGGGGACGAGCTGTTTGTTTGTCAACCACAAGGGGACGAGCCGAGTTTTCCCCATGACTTGGGGAAATATGTTGGACCGTTCCCATGGCTTCAAGACTTGAAGAAATTGAGACATTTCCGACATTCCCGATTTCCGCTGGGTTTGTTCGAGACTCATTTGCGCAGTTTGAGGTAGTCTTTGGCGCAAATTTTGCCAAGGGACGTTAGGACTTCAACCCTGCCAACTCATGGGTTTGCCGTATTAAACCACGAAAAGTAAAAAAAAAAAACTTTTAGCAGGGGAGCAGACAGCAACCGAGCGCGTATACGTCTGCGTAATTTATGGCGAGCTCAAAACTGTGCTCACCATTGTAACTAGGTCCCCTAGTAGTGCCCTTTTACCTTTTTTTGGTTGGGAGGGTTGCCCTACTAAAATAGACAGCAGAAAAAAATCGGGTACCAACTTATTCTAACCTCTCTGCTGGAGGACCTAGCTAATTTCGGGTTTCGGAATTATGGTAAAACAAAATGCAGATCTGTTTTACGTCCCTTCGAAGCACAACATGCACTGCATTGGATTTGTGCGCCCTGAGACGACGGGATTTGTGGTACAGGTGGTACATGCAGTGGTTCCTGAACGACTTTTAGACAGCTGCGGCCCCAGATCGAGGCGAAACTGTTGTCAGTGAGCGACAGGTGGAACCAAAGCAACTCTTGCATTTGCTTAACAGAAGTGATGTGATTTTGTTCCCTCTGCACTGGGGCCATTAAATTGAGGGGCCAGTTCGCTCGTGAGGGGATCTTCAGTGTTGCATAACTTTCTGTATTGTCCCCAAATGGATCCATTTACAGCCCAACATGGATTCCCACTTGCTTTACATCTGTATTTTTTAGGAGGGAATCCTTTTTAAAGTGGCGAACAACATGTGGTTTCCTTTTGGTTTCTCCTTCATCAAATTTGCCAACATGGGTCCATTTGAGCCACAATCAAAACCGGGTAGATGAAGGTTAGTAAGGGGCAGTCCCAGCCAGAAATAGTTGCGGCCGCCTTCTTAATTCTTGAAGCATGCTTCTGTGGATCGACCAGTTCAATACCGGGTTTTCCTTTTGGTTTCTCCTTCAACAAATACCCTAAACCCAAAGCCCTGAACCCTGAACCCTAAACCCCCCATGGGTCCATTTGCAGACCCCCCATGGAACCTGACAGGGATGCCTTTAAAAGGAACGTGGTCTAGGACCCCCCGCTGTCAGTTTCCAATTGGTGCGAGAACTTATTTGAAGACCCCCTTCCTTTGGCAGCTCAAGAGCGCTCCTCCCAGGCGACGTTCAGTTCCTCTTCACCCCCCGGGCGCGCCGGGGGGACGCGGGCCTCTCGGGCCGGCGCTTTGTCACGGAGAGCTACGGCGGCTGGGCGGCCGCAGGCGGGCTCGGGCGGGCGGGCTCGGTCGGTCGGCGCGGGGGAAGCAGATGAGCTTCCAGTTGCTTAAGTTGTTTTTTTGGTTTAATGTATGTATATAGATTATTATTCCCTTGTTGGTTTTAAAAGGAATCCATCACTACTGGAAATATGTTTGTTTTTTCCTTGGGGCCTGAAGCAAATGGAAGTATGGCTGTGGTTGTCAAGACCAAGGGGATGCCATCTTGGGGTAGGCGAATTCACCACCCATTTTAGAACCTTTTTAGTGGGGATTGAATCGGATGTTCACTGGAAGAACGGGATTTGGACCCATGGCCATTTGAGCAGGTGAAGCTTTTGGATTCCAGTAGTGATCAATTCCCTTTAAGACCAGCAAGGGAAAACAAACAATACTCTTAAGCAATTGGAAGATGGAACGCCCAAGCATACTTCCATTTGATGAAATGTTTTTTTCCGCGGTTGGTCTTGTTTTTTTTTTTTTTGACAAATGGAGTCATATGGAGGTTGGTCAGTATTCCTTGGCCCCAAAAAGACCATGGGTAACTATCCTATGTGGTGAAAGTCAAGTCTTTTCTGTTGTTTCCTTACTGGTCTCCCCATGTAAAGAACCTTTTGATCAATCCCCCATGTGTGTTTCTTTGCCCGCTCTGGATTTGGTCAATAGGCCCAGATAGGGGATAAGGGGTGGTTTGGGGCATTCAGAGCGGGTTCCGAATGTTGGGAATATCAATTGGGGTTGTGGTTTGTGGCAGTTGGTACCCTTTGTGGTTGCAAAGTTTTTCGTAATTTAGGATCCTGTGCGGGGGGGGGGGGGGGTGAGTTCCCTCCCCCCTCGCTCGGACAGGGTCAACATCCGGCTGGGTTGCGCAGTTGGGCGGGGTAACAAAGACACTTGGCGTAGCCAATGTCACTTTGCTGGAATGTTCGGGTCCTGTCTTGTTTGGCGCTTTGTCTTGTCAGATGGCCTTTCTGCTGCAGCTTTGGATTTGGAAAGACTGGGGTTGGTGTTGCCATTTGTTTCTCAAGCTGAATCTTCCCAACTTCTCAGATGTTCAGTTTCTCATGCCGACGTGTTCCCAAAACGAAGGTTCCTCCACGGGACACGCCCCCCTCCCCCTTACTGAACCAGGCAATTTATTGGTGACATCCCCCCTATTCGCAGGAGCGGTGTATTAACCGAGGTCGACATTATTTGGCTCTGGGTCAAAAGTATGTATCCAAAATGGAATCCTGGTAAATGGAAACATGGACCAAAACCTGCGGTCCCCTGGTGGTTTAATTTTGACTCACACCCATTTGGCTCTGAATGCAAATGAGAAAAAACACCAAAGCGCACATACATCCCCAACATGATGTGCACCAGGGGTCCGGGAACCAGTTGAATTCACACCCAGGAGAAACACCCTAGAAAAACCCAGTTTGAACCCCTTTTCAGTACCCCCCCCAAACGAGTAGTTTTCATGTTGGTTCCCTTGTCTTGGTGCCACATGGCCATCCACATTGAGGAGTTCCGATGGCAAGGGCTTCCTGACCCAGACTCTCCCCACAGAAAGTTTTGCGTTAAAGGCCGCTGCAAGTGTCCCATTTTTGTGTCGAAAAGGGATGTGGGCCCCAATTTTGGTGATCACCCTTTATTTCCAGGACCGTAAGGTAGGTAACCCTTAGTGGTTTGGATTGCTGGTTTGGAATTTCACCTCTGATTGTAGAGGGCTAGCCACCAACCACTAACCACTGGGCTCCAAACCACCAAACAAGGAGAGAAGCTGGTTAAGGGTTATAAATCGCCGGCAACCAGAAGAACCACGAGGAAACTCAGGGGCAACTGAGGCGTTTGGGGCCCATGTGGAACTCCCAAAATGGAAAGGCTTTTTGTTAGTTTCCCTTTAAAGCAACCGAAAGAAGGGCACCCAGTCCCCACCCCCCCCAAAAAAAAAGACAGACCCATTTTTCGGGGGAACCAGTCCCGAAACGCCCGAACCACCCTAACCACCAAACAACCCAGGGCCCACTGAGTGCATTTGTTTTTTGTGGCCCCATTGTTTCTGCGGAAACCCCGGAGAAAAAACAAGAAACAAACGCCACCCGCCTACCGACTCGGCCGCTCGCGCGCGCGCGCGCGCGCAATCCCCGCGCGTCCGCGAGGCGCCGCCCCGGGGAGGGACGGCTCCGCGCCGGCGCGCTGCGGCGCTCTCGGGGCACGCTGGGCCGCCAGGAGCGCCTTGCTGGGTCGAGATTTGGCGGGCGTGAGCTTCCATTCTTTTTGCTGAAGGGACATGGTGAGGGACAGCTGTCTTTTTTTTTTAAATCTAGGGACATGGTGTCACTTCGGGGTGATTCAATCAGGTCCCTGAGAACCACTAAGATCTTCAGATGCTTAAGAATATGTCTTTTTCGTTTTTTCCAACTGGTTGAGTTTAAAGGGAATCGATTTCACTACTGGACATATTTTCTCATTTTTTCCCGGAGGGCTTAAGCAAATGGAAGCGAGTTCGCGAAAGCGAGCGAAAGCGAGGGACAGCGCGAGGGCGGAGGGTTTCTTGGTGGCTCAACCAGCCATCAGGTTCAACTTGGTTTAGTGGTTGGTTTTCCGGTATTCCGCCCACAAGTTCGTCACCTTAGCGGGGGATCCGAAAACGGACAGCCTAGGTTTGGAGTGTTTTGAACTCGCGGAGAGCTGGACGCGTTTTGGGGGGTGCTAACTTTCTAAGGGGAAAGTGATTTGCGATGTTGCTTGGAGTTGGGCTCGTCTTTTTTAAGGGTTGGAGCATCCAAAATGGCTTCGGTTTTCCTGTTCGTTTTGCTGGTAGGTCAAATGTCAAATCCAACCAAAGAAGGGGGGGTTGGACAGTGAAGACCCACAAAAAAACACATGAAACATCAATTCCAACCAAAATGCCTTTGGGGTTTTCCCTTTTTGGGTTCCCATGTTTAGACAACGTGCCAAACGGTGATCACCTTTCATTTCTGGGTCCTTTTGAGGACCAAAGACGGATCCCCGCAAGCTCGTTTTCGTTTTCGACCTGCATGGGGTCGATGGGCTCACCTCCAAAGCCAGAGACGAGTTGAAGGCGTTCGCGGCTGGTGGTGAAAGCGTTTTGGGGGTCGATGGGCTAGGCTTTGGGACCCGCTGTTTTTTGTTGTTTTGGCCGCTTCCAGGGAGGAAACCCGGAGATTCGGTTCTAGGGGGTTCCGGGGCTGGGTCCCAACACCATCATTTCTTTCTTGTTTTCAGGGCTCCTCAAAAGAAATGCATTTTGCAACCATTTGAAACAAGTGGCTTTTTCAACACCAAAATAAAGGGAAACCACCATTTATAAGGCAATGTTCTGTATAATGTAAGGATCCCTGTTTTTCTTTTTTTTTTCTTTAAAGACGTCAGGCGAGCGGCGTCGCCCGAAGGTTCAACTTTGGGGGGTTTTCCGATTTTTTCTTCTTCAATGGGCAAATGGTGAAGGACCCTCTTTCCAACAGACGTCTACAATCTTCCCACACCCTCTTGTCAGCTTCCAATGATTGGAGGGTCTTGAAATTCCAGGTCCCGGTTCGATGGGGAATCCGGGGTTTTGGGATTCCCCCGGTTTCTAGGGGGAGTGTTCAGTTCGGGGTGATTCAATCAGGTCCCTGAGAACCACTAACTAGGTCCCCCAGTAGTGCCCTTTGACCCTTTTTTGGGGGAAAGTTCCCCTACTAAAAACAAATACAAACAAAAAACAACTTTATTCTAACCTCTCTACTGGAGGACCTAGCCAACCATAGATTGGTACGGATCTCCCAACCCTTTTGATTCTTACGTCACTTTGGGACCACAGACGGTTTCAGGTTCACTCGTGCAACGGGAACACCCACCTGACTTTTTAGAGGGGACCTTTTTTGGGGGGGCGACCCCGACAATTGTGGGTTCCGCCGAAATTCATTTTACACCACCTAAGAAACCATGGTTGAAGCCATACAGTTTGTTAGAGCTTTGGTTGGGGTAATCGAATCAGAAACCAGGGTTTCTGAACGGTGGTGAGAAAGAGGATTTCTTTCGCAACCAGCCACACTAACCGGCCTTTTCGTTCTTTGCCTGCTTTTGGGTAGAGACTTTAAGTAGGTCCCCAGTAGTGCCCTTTTACCCTTTTTTGGAGGAGGGTTCCCCTACTAAAATAAACTACAGAAAAAAGGGTCCCCTTCTTCTAGCCTCTCTACTGGAGGACCTAGGGCTGAGCCAAGAGACTCAGCAAGTGAGATACTGTGGACGGACGAACTCCTCTTCGCACCGCTCAGAAACCCTGGAATCATTTGATTCCCCTGTAAATACCAATCAACGTTGCTTCAACCATGTGGTTTCATTTCATGGTGCGAAATGGACTTCGCAACCATCCACAGTATGGACATGAGCCATCCACGGTGTTGCTGACCCCATATATTTGTCAACCCCAATGTATTGATAGGGGGTGGCGGCTCCTCCAAAAGTGGTCTGATTCCCCACATTTCACCCAGGGGTAACCACCCTATTACTAAAGGGTCAACATTACACTCTTTCTTGGGGTTTGTTTGGAAACTAAAAGAACACCATTTGTTTGGAGGGTTCTCCTTGAACCCACAAACCCACTCTTGGGTTGAACATATGGGGCCAACATTCTTCGAGACTTTGGAAATCGGATTAGGGTTTCAGGATGCAGCGTTCACTTTCTGCCAATCCCCAAGCGAGGTATGGGAACCCATGACTCCCCAGAGTTCACACCTTTCTTTGGGGACCCTTCAAAATTGCGCTTCAGGATTTTCCTCGTGGTTTCCCTTTAAACCCACAAAACAAGGGGCACCAACTCCCAAAAAGGCAGGGTTTCCACAGTTAGGCCCCCCAGTAGTGCCCTTCTCTCTCCTTTTTTCGGGGAGGGTTCCCCTACTTAATTAGACAAAACAGAAACAACTCGGGCACCAACTTATCCTAGCCTCTCAAGTCTGGAGGACCTAGACAGACCTGCGGGGGGGCGGGATTTTCCTCTTGGTTTCCCTTTGAAAACCCACCAAATAAGGAGCACCACTCCACAAAACCACTCCAAAAAGCAGGGTATCTTCGGAATAGCTTTGGTTTTCCTCTTGGTTTCCCTTTACACCCACAAAAAAGCAAGGCTTCCAACTCCCCAAAAAACATTCTTTCCACAAACCTTCGGGGAAAAAGGCGGCGTTTTTCGTCCGATTTGTCCGGCTGCAGGAGCCTGGTGAGCGCCAAGCTCTGCCGCCGGTGCCTGGTGCAGCTTCGCTACACCGCCACCGAGTCGGCGGTGCAGGCGAGCGAGCGAGGGGCATGGGGCGTGGAGTCCTTGGTGGTCCCCAGCTGGGGGGGGGTTCCCCTAAACTAGAAAAAACGAAAAAAGTTGGTACCCTTATTCTAACCTCTCTACTGGAGGAGGTAGAGTAGGTTGTAAGCTGTTTTGATTTGTGTGAATTATAACGACCTCGCACGACCTCACCTCAAATTGTGGGTTATGTCGGGGATTTCTCTCCAACCACCTTATTTCATTTCAGGCTGGTGAAATATTATAATTCACCCAGATGGATTCCTTGGTGGTTCCCCAGCTGTGCGGTTCCTGAGTTGTTTTTTGTTTTTTACTTTTTAGATCTGTTTAGTTGGTTTAGTGGGTTCCTTAGCCTTTTTTTTCAAAAACAACTTTTCGGTTGGTTTAGTGGTAGTTGCCGTATTTCACCCACTAAAGTTGGACTTTTAGCGGTGGTTTTCCTTAAGTTCTCTGTTGGGAATTGGGTCAAAATTCAGGACTCCAAGTGGCTTAGGTGTTTTTCTCACAATTGAGGACTCCAAGTAGTTTCCTTTTGGTTTACCTTTAAAGCCGTCCCCCATTTGGCAAGCTTGACCCAGCACCCAGTCCCAACTTGCAACTGCGCTTTTCAACAACAGTCACAAGTACGGCAACCAAAAAAGCAGGCAAGTTGGGGGGACAGATGAGGAACTCCGATGCTTTGCTCAAGTAGGGCCCCAAGCACTTGACACGTGTCGAAAAGCTCAAAACAGCACTCGTCCCTATACAGTTGTGGCAAGGCTTTTAGTAAGACAGCTGTGTGTCTGCAGGCCGCCTGGGCTGTCCTTCTGTTCCGAAGTTCGCATGGCGGATGTTTGTGTCATCAACGGACCCGCACGCGTCAAAAACAATGGCAACGGATCAATACAGCCCTGGTTGATTAGGGGGTGTCTCCTTCAGGGTTTAGCTAGCTTTGTAGTTGGTTTAGTAGTTGTTGCCAACAGTTTTCAACTTGTTTAGCAGATCAGAAAACGGACAGCCCAGGTTAGAAGAGGGTAAGACAAACACGGAGAGCAACCAGAAGTGGTGGCTGGAGGTTCTTGCCTCTCCAAAGCTGCTTGGCGTGGGCTTGGCTTGTTCCATGATTCAACTTTGTGCTGAAATGGCCGTGGCTCAAACACAATGGCTTGCCCTGGTAATGAAGTGGTAATTCAGTGGAAACATGGACCAAAAACCTGTGGTTTGCCCCTCCTGTTTAATTTTGAGCCACACCCAAATGGCCGTGGCTCAGAAAAATGTGCCCAACATGGCCCTAAATGGAACCAATCAGCTGCGTAGCCCTAGCACTTAAATTTTGAGCCACACCCAAATGAGTAGTTCTCCTTTTTTTCTCTGGTTTTGAAGGGGATCTACATATTTTCTCAGGCGAACAAGCAAATGGAGGTCAATCATCCTTCTTCCTCAAACGACAATGCTGGTGTTGTGGGGTGGTTATGGTGGTGTCCTGATGGACAGTGATGGGTTTCGCTCGAATTTTGGGGGTTCCAACTTTTTGGGAAACATGGGCTACTTTGTCTGTAGATGAACACTTCCCCAGGCCGCAGGGAGTTTTAAGGGGTAAGTAGACCCACCCCGGCCCACAGGTGCAGAGCTTTGGCACCGGCCGATCCGACGCGGAGCTCTCGCAGATCCTGGCGCGGCGGAGTCGCCCGGGGGGTTCGTCCGCCGACGGGCGGAGCGGCCTGCGGGGCAGGGGACTTTTCGCGTGGCGCAAAAATTAAGCAGGGCTCCTGAAAAGAAATTCATATTGCAACCATTCGAAACATGTTGCTTTTTCAACACCGAAATAAAGGGACACCGCCATTTACAAGGCAATGTTCAGGTGTATAATGTAAGGATCCCTGTGAAACAGGTGACTTTGTCTTTGTTTCCATATGCCAGGGTGCCATCTTGGGAACCTTTTTTTTTGGGAGCAACGGCCATGTTTCGTTTTTTTTTTTTTTTTTTTGTGTGGCAAACCCCCGCAAAACTTGTCTTTAGGCAAATGAGTTCGCCAGCAATTCCACCGATTCGAGGGTAAAACAAGCTCACATATGCAGGTTTCTTACCTGGGGATTGATTCTTCATTTCCAGCCCGAAGAACAACAACCTCAAGGGTAGCCTCAAATGCTTCATGGTTGGGGTCGGCCTACATGAAAGGGGTTGCTCACCACTTGATGCCATTCCCTGTTCATCCACCGGGTTGACGTGAAACCTTTGTAAGAAAATGCACGAGTCTGGGGTTTGCTCTTGGCTTGGATCATTTTTTCTCTGTCGACGTCTTTGGGAACCTGAGCATTTTTTTCGACGAAGCTGAGCGCCTCCTCCCACGTTGCCGTACGGCACCTGCGGGAGGGCACCCGGAAGATCAATTGAGCCACCTGCTCAAAGCCGATTCGGGTAGATGGAGGTTAGTAAGGGGCAGATTCCCGGCCGGAAAAATAGTGGCGGAGATCCGGCTTTCTAATTCTCGAAGCATGGTCCTGGGTTCAACACACTTTTGTACCAGGTTTTGATTGTGACTCAATTCCTCTTTAAGGGACCGTTTGTCAGGTGCCGGACCCTTGGTGCCATTGCAATGTGGGGGGGGCAACTCTTTGGGAGCAGGAGTAATGGACGCCCAAGGGGTTCTCCGTAGATAAGCCTAGGGACAAGCCCTCAAGGCCTTATGGGCCTAATATGAGTCATAGCCTTCCCATAGTTTCCCTTGGAACCTCCATGAAGGAGCTTTTTCCCCTAAACAAAAAGTAGTTCCCTCACAAAAAAGAAGAAGAAGAAGAAGAAGCGTCCAAGCACCTTTTTTTGGGGCGAACCACCCAGCCCTCGCTCGCTCGCTCCCCGCGCTCTGCGCGCTGAGAGGCGCAGAGCTTCGACTTCCGGCCCAGCGCCTTGCATCAGGCCGGGACAGCGGGGCGAGGGAGGCGAGGGAGGCGAGGGAGGCGAGGGAGGCGAGGGAGGCGAGGGAGGCGAGGGAGGCGAGGGAGGCGAGGGAGGCGAGGGAGGCGAGGGAGGCGAGGGAGGCGAGGGAGGCGAGGGAGGCGAGGGAGGCGGCTCGCGAGGCGTCGCGAGTCGCGAGATCTGTCGGGAGGGCGCGGAAAGGTTGAGGTAGGTGTGGGTGAAAATCAAACCACTAGGAATTCCATTTCCCAAGGTTCCACTTCGGGTATCTATGTTTGACCCACAGCCATGTAGGTGTTGTACTCAAACAGAACACGTGTGTAGAAACAGGTGTTTTGGAAGAAATGAAAACAGGTTTTGAAAGGGATGTAGGAGCACATGTAAAACTCGGCAAGCTCAATAATCGCAAAAAAATACCCGCAAGGTGGATGAAACACGGTCGTGTTTGGGGTCTTGGTCTGAGGATTGGCAGGATTTGATAGGCTTTGGTCAGTGAGTTGGTCTTCAATGCCTTGGTCAGTGAATATCGATGGATTCCACTTATAAAAGCACATCAGTGGAATCGCAGCGTGTTTTCGAGGCCACTGTGCCCCTTTGGGGGCAATTAGGGTAGCATGTGAATGCCACAAGCATAAACCCGGGGTCATTGGAGGGTAGTGTATTAGTTCTTTACATCGGATTTGGGTAGACTGATTTTCATACCGATCGGTCTTGAGTATGACTCATTTGACGGGTCTTGGAAAGTGCTGATGGTTTCCTTCTTGTCGCCCCACCCCACCCCACCCCACCCCACCCCAACCCCAGCCCAGCCCAGCCCACCCCACCCCACCCCACCCCACCCCACCCCAATTGCTGAAGGCATCCATTCAAAAAACACCAGTTCTTTTTGGGGCAAAGTATCTCGCACTCCCTGAGTTCCGTTTCGGACTGCAGCGTCACTTTTTGGGTTTGGACCACTTGAGCGGTAAGAACAATATATACCTGGATCTTCCAAAGTGTGACCCTTTTCCTGCCTTTCCGTGAAAAGCCGTGCTTTTTCAGGCAAACAGCGCACTTTTTTCGCGCCTCCGGGCGCTTTTTTCACTTTGTTGCCCTGGGCGACATCCATGCGGCGACACTCCCCGAGCCACTTCGCTCGGAGTCCAGCGAAAAACGTCCGCCCGGGGGGTTGGCGCTCGCTCCCAGGAGCTGGGAGCCCGGCGCTCCGGCGAGGTTCCCTGGGAGAAGCCCAAGGAGGGGGGAGCGCGGGGGGGGGGCTGAGAGGGGGGGGGAGGTATGGGGACACTGAGAGGGTCTATTTTGCCACCTCCTTCTTTTAGGGTATGGGTTTTTTAGGGTATGGTTGCAAAATAGACTCTGGGTGTCCATGGGGGGAGGGTGTAGGAGCTTGGTGGCATGGTGGAGCATGGGGTGGCGGAGCTTGGAGTGAGGTTGGGGGGGGGGGTAGGTAGGGGGTAGGGGGTGGGGGGTGGGGGGGGAGAGGGCAGCTTGGGGTGAGGTTGGGGTTTGGTGTGGTGCAAGCGTTTGGACGCCGTATAGGCCCTGCAGCCGGACCCTTGTTGAGGTTGGTGGTTGGTTTTTGGTTTTTGCTTGCGCGATTAGCCCAGGAGGGTTTTGGAGAGCTTAGCTGAGAGGCCAACCGGAGTCACATGGCTGTGGGTCAAAACCAATGGGATCCCATTTTGGGGTATGCACCACTCATGTTAGATTCTATTTAGTGGGGATTGGGATGTCCACTTGGGGGTACAATTCGGATTTTGACCCATGGCCACATGGGTGAATGGCTTGCGGCGCCTTTTCCCCGAACCTTGCGGCCTTGCGGGTGATAACTCAGAGATTGTCAGCCCGACAGATGTATCGACCATCGACCAATGGATTTTTTCAGGGAGTTGAAAGCAATCGTGACATGTCGCTACACGAAAAATTCAGGTCCCAGCACCCTCCAAGGGTTGTCCATTTATCCTGAAGCCATTGTGGGTACCAATTGACAACCCTTGGAGGGTGCTGGTCTAAGTCTGCAAAATCGCCCAGGTTTCGTTGTTTCATCCCGAGGATGTGCATTTCCATGTCACATGCCAGACTGCGCACAGGCAGCTTTGAGGGATGCCGATGGTTTTCTGCGGGATCAACGTCAGAGCACTTGGTTTCGTATTGGTTTCCCACTGTTTAGGAGTGTATTTCTTACCCTTTCCGTTTCAGTTCAGAGAGTACACTTTTGGGGCTGGCACTTTTCTGCAGCTAAGCCTCATCGTTTTCCGGGTGAAGGGTCTCAAACCCGCCCGAGGTTTCGCTTCATTGTAACAAGACCCCCCGAAGCTCACAGCAGGTCGTCGGAAGGCCTTCGCCTCTATCCCCACCCCTGGCCATTGGGGGATGGGAAATTTGGGAGATCCCCATTTATGGTAACCCATACTGGCTGTGGCTTAAACAAAATGGAATTCCAAAATGGCTTGCCCTGGTAAGTGGAAAGATGGACTGAAACCTGCGGTTTGCCCCTCCTGTTTAATTTGACCCACCGCCATATTCCTTTTGTGGGGAAGCCATATTTATGGAACTGGAGTGGAGTTGAGGTGTTTTTTGTTTTGGGAAGTCCCAGAACGTCCACTTCCGTTGGACAGAGGGTAAGCTCCCCAATGGGCATCGTTAGCATCGGCCAGAAGGCAACGTGGGGCCCAAAATAACGGGCCAAAATATGGCCAACGTAGGGCCCAAAAGAACGGGTCAACATCTGGCCAACGCAAGGCCAACATAAGGCCACGGTAGGGCCAAACCAGGCCTTTATCGGGGCACGGAGTTGGCACCAAAATAAGGCCAACCTAGGCCTTCACCGGGGCACGGCGAGGCTCGGTCAAGGGGACCAAGCGAGGGGTACGGAAGCTTTTTCCTAGCTTCTTTGCTTCTTTGCCTACGGTAACACAAAGAGACGCACGCACGGACACTTCCGTTGTGTGTCTCTACAGGGTTGCCTTTTCACATTGCTTCAAAGTCAAGACATAAGGACATCATCATTTTGGGGGTCGCCCTATTTTGACACGGACGCCCGCACCCTCCGCAAAAAAAACCGCCCGCGACGTCAGGCGCTGTGAGGCCCGACTTCGCGCTCGAACCGAGCTGCGGCAGGGAAACAGCGCGGCCCGTTGCGGGGGAGATGGTAGTGCCGCAGATGGCCCCGCCCATGAAGCTCAATGACAGGAATGGGGTAGGTCTTGGAATGTCCACCTTGAACAGGTGGCTTGCTGGGTGGGGGGGTGACACCTTCGTAGAAGTGCCTTTCGTTCTGGGAAAGCTAGGCAAATGGACTGAGGTCAGAAAGATGCATAGAGCGTGACTCAGCTGGGGCAGTCAACTGGGTGCCAGAGCGATTTAGTGTCATCTTTTAGAGGACCGCGCACAGAAGGGCGATTTTCCTCTGGGTTTCCCTTTAAGAAAGCCAGACATCTTCCAGCTGAAGCCAGCCAGATGGATATTATTTTCTTTCACAGCAACCAGCTCATGGTTGTTGTTGGGAAACATTTTACATTTTTGCTTATTGTGGTTTAGTGGTTGAACTACCATTGAGAGGGCCATGTTCAGGTGTATAATGCATCCGGATCCCTGTTTTTTCCAGGCCCCCAAGTTTAGCACCCAATCTGCTTCATCGACTTGAGCGGGGTGCCCAGAACCTGTCCGCGCGTGAAGCTCAGCTTAAGGTTGGTGGGCCTTCTGAAGACGACTTTTGGAGTCGAAAGTGGCTGAAATCTCCCTTAAACTTAGCTCCAGATCTCCAGTCGTCAGAATCGTCCCTCCAAATGGACCTCGGGTCCCAGCGCCATTTTTTCACCTTGGTGCCTGTGTACTCCTTGTTCATTGTTGAGTTCTTGGTGTCCTCAAGAAACTTGCCGAAGAGCCATTGCTTGGATAGCGAAACCTCCATCTCCCAAACACAGGAAGCAACACTTGAAGATGTTTTTTTCCTGGGTGAAGATGTAGGGTGAAAATGTTTCCTGGGTGAAGTTCAGTTTTTTTGTTCCCACTCAAGTCCTGCAGAACTCTTTGGTGTCTAGCAGAAGGCGGTGGGGTAGCGAGGGATCCTTTAGCCCATCCGGGCTCCGAAGAGAGCGGATTCAAGCATATGGGCGTGTCTTTTTTCTTGGGGAACCTCCCCAAAATGGTGGTTTTCCTGTTGGTTTCCCTTAAACAAACCACCAAAACAGGGGGGGGGGTCCATGAAGCAAATCATACCCATATCATAATATACATTTATGAGAGTTGCTTTGATCGAAAAGTTGACCAAGATCAGCCAAGGTCCGATTCCAAAGGTGATGTTGTGTTTTGGTAAAGTGGTGCCTTTTCACTTTAGATTAAAGGGAAAACAAACAGTGTAGACGCATTTGGGTGTGTCTGTTTACCCGTTTGTATGGCTTTCAAGGGAAGCCAAAAAGAGCACCACAATTTTCCGGGTACCCCTATTTTAAGTCGCATGCCCATTCAACACACAAGGGGCTAATTCCCACCATTCTTTTCAACCATTCTTTTCAAAAACGTCGATTCGGCAGACTTGGATCTCCTTCTGCCTATTTTATGGCGAGCTCAAGAGGGGCGGGGTAGAACGAGCCCACCATGATGTAGATCATTTATCGGGGGGATCCTTTTTGCAAGTGTTGGAATCATTGTAGAGTTGTTTGATGTGGTCGGGTTGACTTGCATGCTGTCGCAATTAGCAACGATGCAACAGGGAAAGAACGGGTCCGGGCTTCATTTGATCGCACTTCCCAACAAAGCCATGTGTTCAAAGTCGGGGTTTGGCCGAGGCGACGGACCTCCTGCAGTGTAGCCTTCCTCTTTACTGGGACCCCCTCTTTTTCTCGAAAGGGGCGATCGAAAGGCAAGCTGTGCTCACAGGATCATCTTCTCCTGGGTACGCCCAGGAGTGAACATGTGAAGTCGACAGATGTTTCTTTTAAGCACGCAGTCGCGTTGCAATGCATGACGTCAACATGCTACAGGTACAGCACCCCCCCCCATTGGGAGCAAACCCTTGTTTGAAGGCCCTTTTTCCTTTCCTAATTCAAGGAGGGTGTGGGGTTTTGGCCATGAGAGTAAGTGACCCGCACACGTCATTTTCGCAACGCCGGATTGCCATGTTTTTCTGTATCACAGAGTTCACCCATGCTTTCGAAGTCAGGGCGTCAGAAGTCGGTTTGAGCGAAGGCGAGATTGAGGCGTTGATTGGCGGTAACATCTCGTCGGCAAAGCTGGGATTTGCACTTGTGCCACCAGGGCAGCATCTCACCAACGAGCAGGTTGAGACTCTTCTCCAAGGCAGAGCCAACCAAGGTGCAGTGTCTGCCGTCAAGCGCCTGGTTTTTGAAGCACACACCTTGTTGGTTGCCGACTTGAACCGTGTGGAAAAGGGGGACGACGCCACCTCATCAATGGCCCCAACCGAAAGAGACGCGCGGATTGAGGCCATGAGAGTGCGCATCACAGGACTGACGCATCAGGGAGAAGAAGAGTCAGTGATCAGGAGTGATCTCTCCTCCTTAAGGGCCGCAAGGTTGATGATTCCACGTAGGCCCGGTCAAAATGTCCAATAGTGTATGGTTCATTTTAGAGGGACATGGGGGGACTGACGAAGTAGTCCCACAACCGCCGGCCCCTCTCATTTTTCCATGTCCGGGTAAGGCGAGATGGATCGATGCTTCACATTTCGGCTCAGAACGGATGGAGAGTCCTGCAGCTGGAGGCGACGGATGGAGTGGTGTTGCTGAAAGCGTCTGGTGTAAATGCCGCATCTGAAGCGCCATCCATAAGTTTGCGGACCCGCCAAACACCCCCTCCCCCAAAAAGAGCACACCAATGCATAAAAATACACAAATAAATGGACAAATAAATGAAGAAATAGATAAAGAAGTTAATAACTAAATATGTAAAACTCAGTTGCCCAAAGCCGACCTTTTGACCTTTTGGTTTCTCCTTTTTGGTCTAGTTTTAGTCATGGCCCCAAAAGGTTAACCTTTTGTTTCTGGGTCCTTTGGGCAAGTGAGAAAACAAACTCGACGACAAACATAAGCCAAGACCGGAGTTGTTTGGGTGTGGTGCGTCCTGGGGGCTGGTGCTGTGGATGGACAAAATCTGCTTCGCACCAGTTGATGGCTGACTTCTCACTTCGCCCGTGCCAACTGGTCCCGGCGATTTGGTAGCAGCCACAGTAATTAAGTGACAAACCCATGGATCTTTGGGGGCAAATCTGGGGATTTCCCTTGTTCGTCATCATCCAATTTGGGTCAACCATTCTTGTAATGGGGGTTGAACCCTAGTACATCAAGCACCGGCATTGCCAACTATCACCAGCTTATCATGGCCTGGATGGCCAGTTCCGGCTTTTCCCAGCACCTGTGACTGCATTTTGCTTGGATGTTAGGACTTTAACTTTTTGCCAACTAACGGGGTTTCCAGTAAACCACTACAAGTCAAACTTCTAGCAGGGGAGCGGAAAGCAACCGAGTGTTTTTGGCGTAAATTATCTGAAAGAAAGCACCGCGACTTGCAAGGCGATCTAGGGAGCTAAGCCATGGTGAAGGTCCAACACCATGGAGATATCTGATTTCCGGTTTGTCAAGGGAGCCCCCAAAATGGTGGTTTTGCGGTTGGTTTCCCTTTAAAGCCGCAAACAAATGGGGACCTTCAAAAAAGGCAGACCCAAATGCGTCCTCACTTTTTGTCCGAGGCCAAAGCACTCTGGAAATGAGAGAACGCATGCGTATTCCACGTGAATCGGAGTGTTCCCCTTGAAATAGATCATTAAGCGGCTTGCCGATCCTAAGTATAGATATGTTGTATCGTGAGTCCTTTTCCTTTTGATTTTGGGAGGGCGGGGGGGGCGGGTTGACAAGCTGCAGCCTTCGAACGTACACCAGAAGATCATGATGGACTCTTCGCCAAGAGTCAACACGGGCTATCAAAATGGGTAGTTGGGCCCTCTTTTTAGGGATACCTCTTTTGGAGTGGTTTTGAAGGAAACCAACGGAATCAGCATGTTTTGTTGTTTTAAATAACAATAATAATAATAATACTAATAATAATAATAATAATAATAATAATAATAGTAATAATAATAATAGTAATAGTAATAGAAATAATAAGAACAAACTAGTAATAGTAATAGAAATAGTAATAGTAATAGAAATAATAAAAATAGTAATAATAATAATAATAGTAATAAATAATCATAATAGTATGTACTATTTGTTTTAGTTTTTTTTTTTGGGGGGGGGGTCCCCTGTTTTTTGAGACACATCCAAACCGATTTTGCTCGGCAACTAGGCAAAGCCCGAATTCAAGCTACAGATATGTTAACGCCTGCTTTCAGTCATGCCGGTGGAGCTGGGGTGTCTCAATGCTTGGAATTGTGGCTGCTCCCAACCAGGCCCACATGAGCCACAATCAAAGCCCGGGTAGATGAAGGTTAGTCAGGGGCAGTCCCAGCCGGAAATAGTTTAGCTGCCTTTCTAATTCTTCACATGGTTCTGGGTTCACCACTTGTGTACCAGGTTTTGATTGTGACTTCCATTTGTTTGTGGCTTTAAAGGGAAACCAACCTTAACACAGCCACATCTTTCTACAACGTGTCCCCAAGTTAGCCTCCGATACTTCCACCCTTCTGGCCAAGATTTGTGCAGATTCAATCGATGTTCTAAAAGAGGTGTTTCGCAACTTTCTCTTTGGCTGGGCTTGAGTTCACCATTTTTTTTTGAGAACATGATGGGACCCCTTAATTTGCACTTATATGTTTGCCTTCTTCACTTTTCCCGGAATGGGGGGCCAAAAGACCAAAGGCACACCCTGTGTCATTACGATTTGCCGGCGTGGGTTTATATTTTTAGGTCCGGGCATTAAACTGCTCCTTCCCCCCCACCCCCCCCCCCCCCCCAATATTGAAAACACCCCCCACGCCTGCCAAAAAAGGCAACAACACACAAACCAACACGTCACCCAAACTACAGCACCTTCAGTTTTAGTGGATTTTGGTCTTACCCAGAGAGCTCATGTTTGCATTGGTGGTCTTTCAGGTCCCCTTGCGCCCCCTAAAGTCAGGGAACCCTGAATTGGTGGTTTGAATTTGGATTCGAAGCCCTGCTTCTTGACCACCAAAGCACCGGGCTCCACCAAACTTGCTGGTGCGATAAGTAGGGAATGTGGGAATGAACGATTCCCACAAAAAGGAAATCACCAGTTGGGATGGAGTTTTCCGGGGTCATTCCATTGCTCATTCCCTGCATCTCTCACACAAGCCAGCAAACAAGAAAACGGAGGTTGGCAGGCAGCAGCAGATTCATTGCACCCCCCGACACTCGGGGTGTTTTCATCAGGGCATCCATGGCTGGCTCCGGGAATAACAGCAACATGCTGGTCAAGTGCGAGACCAAGAGCAACCGGGTGAAGGCTGGCTCCGGAGCGTTCGTCTTGTTGCTTGCTTTTTTGTCGGTTCTTTTTTGCATCCAGACAGCGAGAAACCGGCCTACGCGGGCTTGGGACCCGCTTCGCTCGCGTTTTGGCAGTTTTGGCAATTTTGGGTGTGGGCGCGGCCGTTAGGGAAAACATGGGTCGCGTAAGGGAAGCGTAAGCTCGCGCGTAAGCAACTTGATACGACATAGGGATTCATGGGAGGTTTATAGAGTCGCTCAGATGTTTTTTTTTTGTCGTGTTTTTGCCCTCCAGAAAGCCTTTATAACGGCCCAGATTCGGGCGCGCTGGGAGTGCAATGGGTTCTTAGGCTGCAGAGAAAAAGCAAAAAACCACGTGGGTATGGGTCAGCATGAAACCACCAGATGGACCGCAGGTGTCCTTTGCCGTGGCAAGCGGCAGGTGTCCCATGTCCCTAGGAAACGCAGCACCGGATACCTGCGACAGCGAGCCGCGAGCCGCCGGTCGAAAGCCGCCAACACCGGGCTGGTGCGATAGGGAAGGACAAGCAAGCAAGAAAGCGGAGGTTGAAAGGCGCCAGCGAGCTATTCTTAACTTACCTCTTAAAAACACCACTTTTCTCAACTTTTTGGGTAACATGGGCTATATGTCTGTAAAAGATGAACACTTCCCCAATCCTTGGAGTTTTAAGGGGTAAGTTAGCGAAAGGATTGTCCCACGGGGTCCCATTTGAGACTGAGGTCGACCAATTTGATGCTGGCCAGGTTTGGCCACAGGGAGGAAATGAGGAAAAATCAAGTCAGTGTCTGAACAAAGGGGTTTCTCACAAACATCCAGTGTCATCACAGCTATTGACCGTGGCTTGAACGCTTTTCTGGGGCGACCGTTCAATTTACTGGCTTATTGCGGACCGCGACGCTAGCCCAGAGATGGCTCGGTCGATGGCAGTTAGTATCTCATTTCATGCTTTAGCTCAAATCCGTCCGCAAAACCCAAAGCGCCGACATGTACTAGATCCTGAACAAGGAGTGTTGAAGGTTCCTGTGAGCGCCCTTTTTTTCTTTCCGTTGTCGTCTTGTTTGTGACCGACAAAAAGCGTAGATTTACCCTGTTGTTATTTAGTTGATTGTCAAGGAAAAACATGATGTATCAGGTACCCACTGATTTAGTTATTGGGTACCACCACCTGATAAAATCACTGTCACTGTCAAGGGAACCACCAATTTAGTTACCAGGTACCCACTTGGTGGTTTGGATTGGTTTGGGGATTCGAACCCCTGAGGTTTCACCGATTCGCCTCCACGGGGGGTCTGTGCGTTGCGTACCTCGCAAAAGGAGGACCAAGACCGCAAACAAACCACAAGGGTACTTGGCCATTTTGAGGATGAACCCACCACAAAACACAAATTGCCTTTAGTTCTTGTTTGGTCAAAACCAATTTGTCAGCCCGCACCCATCCGGTCTTGGAGCGAGTTGAGGGTTCCAGTTTCAGGAAGTGCCTAAGAAACATCAGGGGTTCAATATTGTCTATTTGGGTGATCTTCAAAGGGAACATACAAGGAATCCTGTAAAGGCTTTCCGTTGACATACATCCTTTGACCCATCCCTTTCATATGAGGGGGACATGTCAATTTTGTTTTTGTTCCTTCGTGGTGGTCACAATGCAGCATGAAAAGGGCAGCTACTTTGGAACCAATGGATTCCCGTGTGTCGCTTCCGGATACTGGGGTGAGCGTGCGGGGTTTTTGGGCGGGGCAGGCTGTCAAGCGACAGAGAAGGAAAAGTCCCCCATTTGGAAGCCACAGAACTGGGGGGATGTCCTTCAGGTGTCGCCTGACTGCCTGCCCCGCCCAAAAATCCCCCGAAGCGTGTTTTTCCATGGCGTAGGATCAGCATCCAGTACCCCCTACAGAAAGCCACCACGAAAGCCGCCGTGTTCCACAGATTCAACTGCAGCCCGCACGGATTTAGGAGGCTTTTTTGTGGGGGGCTCCTTTTTGGTTTTTCTATGATGGTTGGACTCCTTTTTGGGGGACTCCTTTTTTGGGGGACTTCTTTTGGGGGACTCCTTTTTGAGTTGCAGTGTGGATGTGGCTATGATGTTTGATAGGAAACCATCACAGTGCTTGGGACATGAATCCCCCGCCGATCTGTCGAAAGTGCGCCCCATTAACAATTGTAGCCATATGGGACACCACAAATGGTGGCGGGCAAAAATCAAACACGGCGCCCTCAAAAAAGTACAGCCTCCCACTTAAAGGGGCAGTGTACCAAGTAAGTGGTTAGTAAGCTTGGTTATAACCCACTTGGGAGACGAACAAAACTATGGTCATTGGGTTATAACCATGCTTATTACCCACTAAGTACAATGCCCCTTTAAGCTTTGGCCCTCCATAGAGGGCCCCAAGTAACAAGCATCCGCCTTTTTTCCCGGGCCCAAGGTGTGGCGAGAGCCAAATCACGCCATGTGGGTTTGTCTCAAAGATAACCTTTTGGTGCCCCTTTAAAGCGGAAACCCGCACACATTGAACGAAATCAACAAAAGGAAGCCGCGAGGCCAAAAAATGGACTGTGTTCCTTTTCTTGGTCTTCCAAAAGCGGGGGCGCAAAATCAACAACAGGAGGCCGAAAAAGAGGCCAAAAATGGGCTGTGAAAAACCGTTTCTTTTTTTTTCGACCCAAAAAAACCAACGAGCGAGCCAAACCGCCGAAACCCAGGCGTCAACCGCTTTGGTTCGACCGCCCGAAAGCCGCGGAGCCGTGGCAGGGCTTGAGCTTCCACCCCAAGCTCAGCTGGATCCTGGCCAGCGCGGGCCTCGAAGCAGCGTCTAATCTTGAAGATATTGCATTATATAGATGTAATATATACATATATATATATATGCATACATATATATATATGTATGTATACAACAATATATATATATATATGTATATAACACTGTATATATATATATATACACATGCATATATGCATGTACATAGTTACCACATATACGCATATACATGCACATACAAGCTCTATGTATGCATGTGTATATTTATATATGTGTACTATTATGTACAATCACGTAGTCACATATACAAATGTACACACACACACACATGTTGTATGTGTCTTTTTTATATAAATATCTGGTGCCGTTTTGTGACAGTGGTCTGAACATTCTTCATTTCGAACCTTCCTTTTGCTACAAAAGGGCCATATACCAGGAACGCAAATCAGATTTCGAAGGGAATACGATTTCGACATAGACATTCTGATTGAACTCTTTCCTTAGTAGATTCTATTTGAAACTACAATGGACTTTTCTTCATTAAAGTCATGTTTGGAAAGCAATGCATATTCAAGCTCTGATTTAAACTATATTTCCGTGAATTTCAGCATTTGCTCAGATCGTGTTCCCCTGTCAAAGATTGAGTATCCCCAAGCAACCGGCATGTTCCACGGCGCAAGCCAACACAAGGTACTGCATATAAACTTTGATGCCAAATTATAAACATAAACACTGTCAAGAGTGGGGGGGAGAGGGGAAGGAAGTCTTCGTGGTTAGGATTGGCTGGACTAGGTGATCAATTTGTTAACAACGGCTTCTCAGCCCACCTCCCCTCCCCTCCCCCGGCACCCAAAGACTTCTCAGCTCCCCCCCCCCCCCCCGCTGCCCTCAACCCCCGACGGACGCGACCGAGTTGGAACACTGATCAGGAGCTCAGCTCAACATACAAAGGACTAGTTTATAAACTAAATGAGCAGTTTGTATACCTGAGCTCAACATACACAACACTAGTCACAGTTTGTAAACTCATTGCTGTTGCTGTTCAACAATGTGCAACCAAACTTCTCACCCACAAAGCACGTGCAACAACACACTCCTGATTCAAGATTCACGAATCAATCCCATGATTTTGTTGAGTGCTGTCCCAATACTCCGAAGATGAATGCAGACAGACACCTGGCAGATGGCAAATGGTGACATCATTGCTATGTACACACACACACAGGTGCCCCCCCCTGCCACCCAAAAAAAGCATATCTGCCACAAAATCAAACGGCAACAAAGGCATAGCAAACTGGACAAGCACATAGCTAAAACAGACGGGTATGTATGTATGTATGTATGTATGTATGTATGTATGTAATGTATGTATGTATGTATGTATGTATGTATGTATGTATGTATGTATGTATGTATGTATGTATGTATGTATGTATGTATGTATGTATATATATATATATACATATATATATATATACAAATAGATAAACACATTGTACATGCACTTTTTTACGGTCTGCCCCCAAAAAGCACACCCCCGCAAAGCCTGGCGGGTATCCACAGCAGTGTTGAGTCTGTTCGCTTTCGCATGCGAACGCGCGCAACATGTTTTGAGCCGTTTTGTGATCGAAGATTGAAGACTATCTGGACACGCGTTGTTGCACACCTCAATTTCATGATAACCTGAAGGTGTTGGGGAGACGGCTATTTCGCATGTACTTTATACTTCACTCACCTGTTCATTTCACGATTAAGTCGGATGTCATGGACACTTGAGGAGGACTATGGGGAGGGGCTATCTTTTAACCCCTTATTGAGGCCCTGGGCTTATCCAGGAATAGTTGCCCCCCCTCCCCACACACGCAGAAAAGGCAAAAGGGCAAAACCGTCGTGTGTAGCACAAGTCTGCTTCTAGCTCACAGTCTAACGCCTGGGTTTGAGTTTTGAGGAAGGTTGCATGCATAATAGAAATACGTGTATCTGTACATATGTATGTATATATATATATATACATACATATGTACTTGACATGTATGCGCAGTTTGCGTGTTAGCCCAGACGTTCGCTTCAAAGCAGCGCTTCACATGTGTCGGGACCTGGCGATTGTTCAATGATTTAGCCCCGAAGCACGACCCAGCCCTTCGGCCCGTTTGGTTGACATACTGTGGATGGACGAAATCCGTTTCGCATCCCCTGAGAAACCATCATGGTTGTTGTTGGGAAACATTTTTTACAGTACAGTTTTGATTATTGTGGTTAGTGGGAAATCCAACCACTCAACTGCAAAAAGTTAAATTTTTGCTCCCCTTCCAACGTCAACCAAGCCATAGAATGATGATTCCCCTGTAAATACCAACGCACAGTGTCTGTTTTTAATGGTTTTAAAGTGGTGCAGGATTTCGTCCATCCACTCAACCCTTCTCCCGTGTCCTAAAAATAGCACCCCAAGGCCTGGCCAAGTGGGGAGTTGAATCCTATGACGGTTCGGTCAAGTCACCACGGTCCATCGGGGTTCGGGACAGGGGGGGGCCTGGAAAGAAACATAAAAAGCAAACGGCAACAAACAACCACCGACAACTGAATTTCAACCACAAGACCCATTTGCACTATTTGAACACCAACGAAAACACCTATCAACAACCATCCGACAAACCACGGTCCATTTGGGGTTTGGAGCATGGGGGGCCTGGAAAAAACACAAAGAACAAGAACCAAATATCATCCGACAAAAAACATACAGAGAGACCACCTCTGAATTTCACCGCGGCTGATATCAGCCAGCGCCAGGCCTTCACAACGGCACCATCCAGCTCTGGGATTACAGGACGGGCAGCCTAAGGGCGCGGTTTTGAGCGGGGCATTGGACTTTTTCGGATGCCCCAAGGGTCTCAAAGATTTTTCGGGCTTGGCTTTTTTTGAGGGTTTTTTGGTTTTTCGGCTTTGGCTGGGATTGCTCAGAAAATCAGCAACTCTATTTTGACGAGCCTACCCAATTCATCAATTTCCCCATCCCAACCAAGAGCCTTGAATGATGGGGGAACACCCTTGGTTTGCACTTAGGTTCACAGGACCGACATCTTTATTGAGCTACCCTCAGGCCAAGGGAAGGTCCTCAGCAAGCCCAAAGATGAAGGGTAAGAAAGCCCAAATGAGCCCACGTCCAAACAAAAGGCGCGGGTAGATGGTTAAGGGATAGTCCCAACAAAAAAGGTGTGGAGTCTCATGGGTTTCGGGTCCATTTGAATACCCTCCCTCCCACGTTGCCATTGCACTTCACAGGGAGGGCGGCCAGTTGGCAAGCTCGGCCGCCAGCGCCGGCAGAGACGAGGGCCATTACGTGCCCTATATGCTGGAAGGCCATCCGGGGAAACACAGAGTGGGCCCTGGCTCAACATCTGTGGGCCAAGCATCCGACCAGCGATGAGGCTCAAGAGCATTGACTTCACGAAGCAGCCTCGCGCCTCTCGCGCCCACACGGCGCCTCCTGCGGCCGCAGTTGCTCCGCAATCGAGCGGTTCCTGAAGAGCAAACTGCACAAGAGGGTATCGTTTCTCAGTATGGGGGTTGTTCCCCTCCAAAAGTGATGAATCCCCACCAAAATCAGTTGGACACCCCGATATGAAGAAACTGGTCTGTGCACTAACCCATGGAATCGTCGGTGGTGTACTTGCTGCTCAAAAATCACCGCTAGGTGGCCCAGTAGTGCCCTTTTACTCTTTTTTGGGGAGAGGATTCCCCTACTAAAACAGACTACAGCAAAAAGGGTACCCTTATTCTAACCTCTCCACTGGAGGACCTAGTATATATTCCAAGGAAAGCAAATCAATTTTCTTGCATATTTCGGGGCTCCCCCCCCTCCCAATTCTTTCCAGCATTCGCTTGAAACAAGCCCGCTGCCCGCTTGGTATGTCAAGTTTTGGAAAACAGATCCCCGGAAAGAATGGGACAGTTCCCCTTATGGACAGAAAAGAGGTTGGCTCAGCCCAGTCAGGCAGCTGACCCAAAGGCTTTGTTCTGGATTAACATTGAACCCTTGGTTTTTTGACACACAAGGCATGGCATAGTTCCCTACACACCTTCTTTGGCTTACACGGCTTGGCCAGCTTTTGGCTGACCTTGCCTCTGCCAAACTTGACCGCCTCACACAGCACACACTGCTTCTTGCCCGGTTTGATACAGGTCAAGAAAAGCAATGCTTAAAGTTCAAGAAAAAATGTGGTTGCGTGGTCTGTGGTCCTAGGCCTGCAACACCAAACCACAATATGAGGTTCTTGTGGAGAATTCCTGCCTTACCCACAAATGGCAGCTCGAGAGCTGCGAGGAAATGATTCAAAGACCCCAAGATAGCCCCTCAAAGTTCATCCCATGTGGATTTTATGTTTTTTGTGTTGGCCAGAGTCCGTGATACCAAAGGAATCCCTCTCAAACTGAAGTCATGGGAATGATTCATCCACTTTATCGCGGATTTCGGGTTTTGTTCCACATGACTCATCCCACGATCAGAAAGAGACCCAGTTGTCTTGCTTTGTAAAGACTCGAGTTCTCATCCCCAATACTGTTCCCATGCACAAATAATTCTACTCAGGGTTGTGGGATCAAGGAGAGTATCCCCACTTCTGTGATACTTTTGGGAATCTCCCCCTTTATATGAAAGGTTGGTCTTTGGGAAGCCCCGTTTGTTGTATCACAGATTCGTGGATTCCATTTCCCACAACCCTGATAATTCTGCTTGATTCACATCCGAGTCTGAGGCCTTGGCCGTTGTTCTCCTCTCTCGTCCGGTCCAGGATTGGTTCTTTGATTGACAAGTTCGAGGCAGGAAACGTTCGGGTGAGAAAACGCTTCGGGGGGTGGGGGGGGGGGCGGGAATTAGACCAGTGCGCGAATGTATCCTGAAAACTGACACCATTTTTTTGGGGGGTCCAACCTCAAAACATGGTTGTTGTTGGGAAGCATTTTTTACATTTTTGCTTATTGTGGTTGAGTGGTTGAAATCCAAATCCACTTAACTGCTAAAATATTAATTATTTTTTTGCTGCCCACACCCAACGTCAACCTCAAAAAGGCCACAGCCAGTCATGGCTTCTATCCCAGGAGCACAGCCAGTGCTCTACCCTTCACCGCTGGAAGTTGTGAGCCGTGGAAGAACTAAGGAACCAACAAACTAAACCGAGCACGTGAACACGTCACAGAGGTGCATTTTGCAGATGAAAGGTGGTACCCTTATTCTAACCTCTCAAATCTGGGGGACCTAGTAGAAGGAAGCTAATGGAGTTTATATTATTTGGTGCATTTTGCCAAGGGATGTTAGGACTTTAACTCTTTATTTCCCAACTAATGGGGGGGTTTCCGTATTAAACCGCTAAAAGTAAAACTTTTCGGAGGGGAGCAGAAAGCAACCGAGGTCAAGGGGGTGCTTTCAGTTTTGAAAGCCAGAAAAGAGGGCGCACTTCAGTTGCCAGACTTGGGTGTCATAGCGGACTTCAGCTTGGCCCATTCGCTCAACGTTAAAAGACTCTGTTCAAAATCAATCCTGAATCCTTGTGCCAGGTGGTTCGCTGGTGATTAGTGGTGCCCCCCTATGGATTACTTGGTGGCTCCCAGCCATCCCCTTAGTTTTTTAGCTTTCTAGTGTTTAGTCAGGTTTTCCATTTAGCCCACTAAAAGTTATTTTTTTAGAGGGGGATCTGAGGACAGCCTAGATTATGGATTGGGATTGGGGATCTCATGTTGAACCTGGAAAGGTCAACCCGAAGACTTCGGTTGCGGGTTGACTTGTGCCGAGCGTCAGAGAAGACCCCCTGTCGGGGGGGGGGCGGTGACCCCCGGAATAACATTTGTTCCATTTTCCCTTTTGTGGGGTTGACTAGAAAATTGAATAGGGGCCCCGGCCCCTCACTCAAAGGTAGGGGGATATAGCTCAGCCCCCAAAGTTGCGGGCTGGGCTTTTCTCACCCAGCTAATCACAGGGCACCGAGTTTTCAGGCCCTCTAAGTGTTCTGGCTGCAACATGCAGGGCTTGGCTCGTTTAGCGCAAAGTACAATCCTGTGTGCATCCTAGAACATTTGTTCGAACTCCACTCAGGGTCAACGAACTCCTAGAGTGTTCTTTGATGCAAAGTCAACCTTTTGACCTTTGGGTTGTCCCATTTTGGTCCATATTTAGTCATGGCCCCAAAAGGTTAACCTTTTAGTTCCAGGTCCTTTGGGCAACTGAGTCATGAGGTCTGCAACGTGTCCAAACCTGAGCCACGGCGCACAGTTGTACGCCAGGAGCACGAGGGAGGCCCCGTGCGAGGAATATGCTTTCACCTCTCGCAGCCGTTGCCGGGGGTCTCAGCCTGCAAAAAAAAACAGGGGAGCCCAAATGGGCTCGAATACAGGGGTTCCAGCTTGCACCAAAGAACAGGGTTGTGGGATCAAGGGGGTTTTTCCCCACTTCTGTGATACAAGGGAATCTCCCCTTTATATGGGGGGTTAGTCTTTGGGAAGCCCTTTTTGTTGTATCACAGAAGTGGTCATTTCCCACAGCCCTGCCAAAGAGCAACCATGTTTGTAGCATTCTAGAGCCCAGTTGTTAGAACCCTATGGTTTTGGGTCGCCATGATTGTTTGATGAGTTTTGCTGGGTAACATGGTGGTGTTGAAGGAACCCCCTAAACCCATCCATTTTTTTTGGGGGAGTCTCCTTTTGTCCTTTCTGGGCTTGGCATGTTGCATTGCCAAACCCGTGAGTCTCCTTTGGGGGAAAGGAACCCTTTCTGGGTTTCTTGGTGGCTCCCAGCCATCCGGTCCCTTAGCTGTTTAGCCTTGTAGTGAGTTTCGTGGTTGGTTTTCCGTATTTGGCCCGCTAAAAGTTAGTTACTTTTAGCAGGGGATTAGAAAACGGACAGCCTTGCATCGTGGGCACCACGTGATCCAGTTCAGTGGAAAGACACTGCCCGTGGCGATGAATTGTGTTCACTGGCACGACGGTGGCTAGGTCCCCCGGTAGTGCCCTTTCTCACCCCGTTTTTGGGGTTTTTGGGGGAGGGTAAAATAATTAGACTACAGAAAAAAACGTACCCTTATCACGAAAGCTAGCTTTAGCTAGCTGAAGTTTCTCCTTGCGTAAGCAAGGTAAGGGGCTCAAATGCCGAAAGATTGATTTTTTCAATTATTTGAGCCGAAAAGATTGAAAAACATCAATTATTTAGACCCCCCCCCCCTCCCCCCCCCCCGGGTCTCAGGCTCGATTCCTCCCTGGTCCATCCCCCCCCCCCGGGCAGTGGCTCAGTGTTCAGCAGTCTCGGTTTGCCCGTTTTGGACTTGGTGCTACGAACTTTTACATGTTCCACCGATTCAGCTTGTTCATTTGAGACCTCAGTCTTCTCGGTAAACCACCTCGCAAGAATCTTTGCACACGCTGCATGCAGAACCCAGAGGTGCTTTAAGACAGCTTCTGACGCCTCTCGTTGTTTTCAGATTTTCAAGGTTTGCCACGCCACCATGTGCGTTTGCGTGTCGCATCCTACGAATCTTGCCGGGCCTCTCGTTGTACACAAGCTACCTATGAATCCACTCTGTCACCGACCCATCTCATGCAACAACTGCTAGCTTTCGTTCACCCGCTCCTCAAGTTCTAACCTCTCTACTGGAGGACCTGGGTGGGCAAAAAACCAATGCTCACTTGCCCAAAGCGAAATTCACCTGACATGAGCTTTTGGCTTCCCGGAATTTGGCTTCCCATTCTGCGTGGCTCCAAAAGGTTCACCTTTATTTCTGGATCCTTAAGGGGCAACTGAGAATGATGTTCGCAGGGTCCCACCAGAAAAAAATGCACCACCGAAGCCATGCTGAGGAATGTCTCCGTT